GTTCTGCTCCTGATCGTAGCATCGTTCTCCTCCACGCATGTGCGCACAACCCCACTGGAGTGGACCCCACCAAGGAGCAGTGGGATATGATTCGCAAGGTTATTCGAGCAAAAGGACACTTGCCCTTTTTTGACAGTGCCTATCAGGTGAGGACACAAGAAGCGGTACGCCTGAACGATGTGTACTATATTAGTGCTAAGAATGGTCTTTTTTCGCCACAGGGGTTCGCAAGTGGAAGCCTGGACGAAGACGCTCATGCTGTCAGGCTTTTTGTGGACGATGGCGGAGAATGCATGATCGCTCAAAGCTATGCCAAAAACCTCGGACTCTATGGTGAACGCATTGGTGCATTGAGCATGGTGAGTACGCATTGCAAAGCGTATTTCTAGTGGATTGTCGTGCCTGTGGTGACCGTGGTGTTTGAACGCACCCTCTCATTGGCAGGTTTGTGCATGTCCGAAGGCTGTGTCGAAGGTTGAGAGTCAGCTCAAGATGGTTATAAGGCCGATGTATTCCAGCCCTCCAGCCCATGGAGCTCGCATTGTTGCAGCTGTTCTTTCTGACAAGTAAGGGTTGCTTCTGAGATTATTTTTTTGGTACCGAGCCGCTTTGTGTGGAAATGCAGTGTTGATGTGGGCCATGGATTGCAGGGACTTGTTCAACGAGTGGACCCTCGAGCTTAAAGGAATGGCAGACCGGATTATCAGCATGAGGCAGCAATTGTATGCAGCACTCCAGCAGAGAGGTTCGTTTCCTGCATGCTTGAACTGTTGGGCGAATTAGCAGGTGCTTATTTGTGTGTTGTAATGTATTGCAGGAACTCCTGGTGACTGGACTCACATTCTGAAGCAGATTGGGATGTTCACGTTTACAGGCCTATCAAAAGAGCAGGTACGCAATATTGTTTACCCCATGAAGTTGGTCTTTGCCTGTCATACAGTCCTTCGTCTAACATTGTTTCCATCGACAACTTTGGACCGTTCTATTCCAGGTTGCCTTCATGACTCGGGAGTACCACATCTACATGACCTCTGATGGGTATGTGTATTATAGTGTGCAAGCAAAACCCCTTTCTTTGGCGCTAGTCCACAGGCTAATATGCGTCTTGATTTCTTCACAGGCGTATCAGCATGGCTGGTCTCAGCTCAAAGACTGTTCCACAGCTAGCAGATGCAATCCATGCTGCGGTTCATACTTTCACGGTGTGATGCCTAGCTGTAGATGAGCAACGGACTCGTACTTTCACTTCTGTAAACGTCTGCATAGTTGGAAGTTGGGGGTACACTTGTATGTATATCACATGCTGTTCACTTCAGCTATTGGCAACTCTCACGTGGCATTGCAGTGCATCCTTTAAAGCTCAACAGTTAGAAGAACTCTTGTTACGGTTCAAACATCTCCTTGCAACCTTAGAAGTTGGGGGTACACTTATATGTTGTCAGAACATTATAGCTTACTTATTTGTGTAGGTTATAGTGGGATATCCCATAGGGGGTACAACCCAATTAGGGTTTCATATTTGTACTCACTTCATTCATAGTTCATTCATTCTCGTTCACTTTTTCACATGGTATCGAGCAGGTTCCCCTGTGGGACCTGTGCTTAGGGCCCACCACCTCGAAACGTCTTTTTTTTTTTTCTGCCCTAGCCGCTAGCGCAACGCCCCTGGGTGGCAGTTCTACCACCCCACCTCTCGACGTGTTCTGTCCTCCCAGGACGTCACGTTCGATGAGTCGGTACCCTACTACCGCCTCTTCCCCTACCGCACTCCTTCCCTTCCCCCGCCCCCGCTCTTCTTGGTACCAGGTCCCCCCCCGGTAGACCCCCTCCCCCCTCAGGGTCCTGCCCCTTCAGGTGTGTCCCAGGTAGACGCGGTCGAGCCTGTCGAGGTCACTGGTAACTCTGGTGCTGCTGCGGGAGCTGAGCCTGGGGGTGCTGAGCCTGGGGGTGCGGAGTCTGGGGGTGCTGAGCCTGGGGGTGCTGAGCCTGGGGGTGCTGAGCCTGGGGGTACTAAGCCTGGGGGTGCTGAGCCTGGGGGTGCTGAGCCTGGGGGTGCTGAGACTGGGGGTGCTCAGCCTGGAGGTGTTTTGCCGAGGGTGCTGAGCCTGGAGGTTCTCCGCCTGGAGGTGCTTCGTCTCGCCGAGAGCCACTCTCCCCACAGGAGCTGCGTGAGTGGTTTGCCCGGCGCTGGAGGCGTGCTGCTGGTGCTGGAGGTTCTTCGGCTGCAGAGGGTGCTGCTGCCGCGCGTCCCGGAGGTGCTCGTGCTGTGGGTGCTGGAGCTGCTGGGTCTGCGGGTTCTCCTGGAGTTGGTACTGCTGAGGGTGTTGGCGCTGAGACTACTGCTGGCGGTTCGACTGGCAGTGCTCCTGGTGCTGCTGGGGGTGCTGGAGGTGCTGCTGGAGGTGCTGCTGAAGCGGGTACTCCTGCTGGGGGTACTGGTGCTGTCCCTGCTGTTTCTGGCGTCGCCACGCGGCCCCGACCGTACTTCGTTCCGCTCCTGCAGCAGGTTCTTGGTCTGACACCTTCTCCTGGTCCTCCTCCTCCTCCCTTAGAGGGTCCACAGCCAGTCCCGTCACAGTTACAGCTACAGCCTGCCTCCCCTTTGCCTGCTCCTTCTCCCTACGCTGGTCCGACTGGAGGTCTTACTGAGCGTCGTGAGCCTGCGTCTCGTCCTGCGTCGCCTGTTCGCACTGCACGCACTAGTGGTCGCGGTTCACGTCAGCGTCCTCCTCCTGTCCCTGGCACGCACCGGATGTCTCTGCGTCCGTCTACTGCTCCTCTGCGTGCCCCTTTGCCTTCTCCTCCTACTTCCTCTCTTCCTGCTCTTGCCGACCCGGAGTCGGACTCTCTTCGTGCTGCCAGTCCCACTGTCACGCGTCTCCTTGCTACTGCTGTCACTGACCCTTCTTTCGAGTCTTCTGCTGCGTCTGCCCTTGTCACTGAGCTTGTCGACTTTGCTGCGCGCTGTCGTCTAGACTACGCTGCTAGTCTTGTCGCTGAGTCTGAGTCTGCCTGTCCTCCGTCCGTCGGGGGTGAGTGTGCCCTAGGCACGGACGTCCTTGAGGACAGGCAGAAGGAGTTCCAGTGTCTGGCCGCCGCTTCACCTCATCTCGCGTCTGTACTGCTCGCCCCTGAGGGAGACCCGGATGCACTAGACATCCCGACTCCGCGCTCTTACGCGGAGGCGATAGAGGGTCCCTACTCCTCTCAGTGGCAGGCAGCTATGGATGCAGAGATGGCTTCCTGGAAGTCTACAGACACCTACGTTGACGCTGTTCCCCCTCCTGGGGCGAACATCGTCAGTGGTATGTGGATCTTCAGGGTGAAGCGGCCGCCGGGTTCTCCGCTTGTCTTCAAGGCTCGTTACGTGGCTCGTGGCTTCAGTCACCGACAGGGAGTTGACTACTTTCAGACCTTCTCCCCCACCCCGAAGATGACCACTCTTCGGGTACTGCTGCACGTTGCTGCTCACCGCGACTACGAGCTGCACTCTCTCGACTTCAGCACAGCTTTCTTGCAGGGCAGCCTGCACGAGGAGATCTGGCTGCGTCGCCCACCTGGCTTCACTGGGTCTTTCCCTCCTGGTACCCAGTGGAGTCTCCGACGTCCAGTCTACGGTCTCCGCCAGGCGCCACGTCAGTGGCACGACACACTGAGGACTACGCTTGCGGCACTTGGGTTTGCTCCTTCTACTGCCGACCCGTCGCTGTTTCTGCGCACCGACACCTCTCTACCGCCGTTCTACATCCTCGTGTACGTCGACGACTTGGTCTTTGCCACAGCGGACGCTGCTGGACTCGCCTACGTGAAGTCCGAGCTGCAGAAGAGACACACGTGCACTGACCTGGGTGAACTGCGCAGCTACCTTGGCTTGCAGATCACCCGGGACAGAGCACGCCGCACCATTACCCTGACTCAGTCACACATGGTGCAGCAGGTCCTTCAGCGCTTCGGCTTCACGTACTCCTCGCCTCAGGCCACTCCTCTGCCTACTCGCCACTCGCTCTCAGCTCTGCCTTCGGATGAGTCCGTAGAGTCGAGTGGCCCGTATGCAGAGCTTGTTGGCTGCCTCATGTACCTGATGACCTGCACACGACCTGACCTTGCATACCCTCTCAGCATTCTCGCGCGCTATGTTGCTCCTGGGAGACACTGACCAGAGCACATGGCTGCAGCGAAGAGGGTGTTGCGCTACTTGTGCAGTACGTCGGGCATGGGGCTAGTGCTTGGAGGGCGCAGTCCAGTGGTCCTCACTGGGCACGCGGACGCTTCTTGGGCTGAAGACCAGGCTACGCAGCGGTCGTCACAGGGTTACACCTTCGGCCTTGGTTCCGGCTCTGTCTCGTGGCGGGCTACTCGCTCGTCTTCTGTTCTCGGCTCCAGTTGTGAGGCTGAGATCTACGCTGGGGCTATGGCTGCTCAGGAGCTTTGCTGGCTCACCTACCTGCTGACTGACCTTGGAGAGCCGCCTTGTTCTCCTCCAGTCCTGTACGTAGACAACAAGGCCATGTTGGCCTTGTGTCGAGAGCAGCGACTGGAGCACAGGACAAAGCACATTGCTCTCCGCTACTTTCTTGCTCGTGAGCTACAGCAGCGTGGACAGTTGCGACTTGCGTACGTGGCCTCCGAGGCCAACACTGCTGATGTCTTCACCAAGGCACTTGCGCCTTGTGATCATCAGCGTTGCTGCACGCAGCTGGGTCTTGATCAGATCGAACAAATCTGATTGGTTCCCGCCAAAACTGAAAAATGGAACACAGCACGTCAGGCGTCGCATCTCTGTTTGGGGAGCCGCAGAGCAGAAGCACTGTGATCGTTTTGTCACGTCCCTGCGATTTTTTGCCCAGCTTCGCGTTCAAGTTGGGCATGGGTGAAGTTCTACTACGTCTTCCATTCAGTTTTCCGTGCTTCTTAGTTTTTAGTTGCTTGTCTAGCCATATAGCCCCAACCTAGGCTGTTGTTACCGCAACTTAGGCGCGTAGTTATTATATGTCATAATTATGCCGTTTAGATTACCCTCTCGCCGCCTTCCTATCCTGCCTCACTCGTCCTCCCGACTCACTCGTCCTCGCGCCGTCCGTCCCAACGCCGTCCCGTCGCCTGAATTGTCGCCTCCATCGACGTCGCCCTCGCTGTCTCCCGTCGCGGCCCTCCCCTCAGTTCGCGTCGCCACGCTATCTCTCCCCTCCCCTCCCATCGCCTTTCCTCTCCGGTTGCCTTTCCTCTCCCGTTGCCCTTCCTCCGTCGCTTTCCTCTCCCTTCGCCTCTCCTCTCCCGTTGCCCTTCCTCCGTCGCTTTCCTCTCCCTTCGCCTTTCCTCTCCCGTTGCCCTTCCTCTCTCCCGTCGCCCTTCCTCTCTCCTGTCGCCTATTCTCTCTCCTGCCGCCCTTTCTTCCTCCCGTCGCCCTTCCTCTCTCCCGTCACCCTTTCTTTCTCCCGTCTCCTATCCTCTCTCCCGTCACCCGTCTTCTCTCCCGTCGCCCCTCCCCTCCCGTCTTCCTCTCTTCCGTCGCCCTTCATCTCTCCCGCCCCATCACCCACCTCGGCGTCTTCCCGCTCGCCGAAATGCCTGCCCGTCGCGTCGGCCCCTCTCGCTTTTCCCTCGCAGCGTTACTCTCCCCGTCACATATGCCCTCGCTTTTTTCGTCGCCCCTCGCAGCACCCTCGTCGCCGCCTTCCCATCACCCTCGTTGCCTTCTCTCTCCCCCATCACCCTTTTTCTCTCGGTTCGTATCACCCCTCTTATCACCCTCACACTCTTCCCTCACCTCGTCCGTCACCATCGCGTCACCCTTTCTCTCTCCCCTCACATCACCCTCCTTGTCGCCGCCGCCCTCCCTCTCGTTCTCCCTCTCGTTCTTCCCGTCGCCCTAGATGCAGCCGTCGCAATTTCCTCTCCCACCCACCATCACCCACCCCATCGCCTTCCCGCTCGCCACAAAATGCCTTCCCGTCCCCCACCGACTTTCTCCTCCCATCGCTTGCCTCGTCGCCTTCGCGCTCGCACTCAACCCCCTCCCGTCGCCCTTCCTCTCTCCCTTCCCATCACCGACCTCGTCGCCCTCATGCTCGCTCCGAAATGCCTTCCCATCGCCTTTCGTCTCTTCTCCCCAATCATTAGTCTCTGAAACACTCTCCAGATCGCCCATTGTATCCACCCGGTTCATCACCGACCTCGTCGCCTTCGCTCTTGCAATGTAATGCCCTCTCCGCGCCCTTCCTCCCTCCCCTCACAATCTGTCTTTCCTCCCCGCCTCCCGTTCATATCTCCCCTTACATCCTGTCGTTCCTCTCTCCCCTCCCATCCCGTTGTTCCTCCTCTCTTTCCTCCTATCCCATCGTTCTTCCTCCCTCCCCTCCCATCCCGTCGTTCCTTTTCTCTCCCCTTCTCTCCCGTCGGCCCCCTTGTCCCCAGTCCCTTCTCTTCGCCGTCGACCAATTAAGCGCTGTTTTTTGCACATAGGAATTCTTGTGAAGTTACGACCGCTGCTCTGTTGAATGTGGGATTGCAGCCTTGCGCCAAATTCGTACAGGAATTTGGGTGAAAGTCGCCACCAATCAGATTTGTAAACAAGTACACATATTTTCCGTTCAGATCAAGACTCGTCCGGGATGAAAAAAAGTAAAAACGCACAGGCCGTCGACTTTTCAAACGTTCGTAACAAACTTGTGTTTTCAAGTGGACCCAACTAGAAGGGGGGGGTCACTATTTTAGCTGCTGGCTTTAAATAGCTATGCTGTAACTAGGAAGGTGTTCGGGCAAGAAATGTTTCATTTTGAACCAATATCTGTTGGGCCAGCCAAAAACGACAATCTATCACGTCGCGACGCGAAGAAGCAATGCACCACACCACAGGCAGGCACCTAGATTTGACGCCAAGCAGCTCAACAGTGACCTGCCCGTCTGTGGTTTGGTTGGTGCTCTGTCAGTCACCCGGAATGTGACAACAACGAACCTCTTTAGGCAGGGCAGCATCCCGTTGGGACTGGTGGAGTGGGGTGGTGCAGTGTCCCCTCTGTTCTCCCAGTCGTTCTCATTGTTGCAGCCAGACGCCCTCATATTTGGTGAATGTTTTAAGATATTTCACGTGTTTCAGTGCGCTTTAATGCGGTGCGATGTGAATTGCCTCCGACAGCTCATTTTGTCGTGTTGAAAGCTGAAAACATGAGTTTGCTGCAGCAGTCGGTTCAGTTGTACCGTCCAGCACAGGAATCTTGCCGCTAGCTTCAGTTCAGGCATCCCTCTGTCGGCACACGGACAGAGTACACGAATTGCCTCCCCAGTACCTTGCAGATCCTGGATGTATGCTGTGAGCATCCCCGTATATACATTGCGCTTGCTCACTGCAAGCCATGAGTGTGCGCGAATCACGTTCTCTTCTCCGCAATGCCCTCGCGGGCGTCGACGCAGCGCGCCGAGCAGAGCTGGTGGAGTGGGCGGATCAGGGCTCGGGGAACTGGGAATCGGATGCGCAAGATGCGGGCGTGCGTGAACCGTCCTCGTCCGCAGCGCAACCCATGTCGCGGGCCGCGCACGATATCGGTGTTAGTAGGCTGCGCCCGGCAACATGCGAAAGCGCCAGCACCAGCGACAGGCGGCAGTGGGCGGGGGCGGGGATAGGAAAGAGCGCATCCGTGCTTTCCGCGCACGATGTAACCGTTACGCGGAGCATGTCCCCGCTGGATGACTCAGTCCCCCGCATTGCCCCCCCGCGCTCGCCCGGCGGAACCCGCGGGTTGGGGGAGCGGAGCGTGACTGAGCGGACGTTGCGGGGGAGGGGCATGGCGGCGGTTGCGTTAAGTAGCAGCATGCAGCGGTCCGCCACTCTTGCACGGTACCTTCAAGACCAAAGTTTCCGAGAGCATGTGCGACAGAGAGTAGGCACGTGGGTGCTAGAGCAAGGCAGTGCGACGTCCTCGGGGACTGCGACGACGGCGACGGCGTCGGCGACGACAACTGCGACTTTCGGCGATCTCCGTCGTCAGCAGCATATCCTGGACCTGCTGCGAGTTCGCTTGCTGCAGAAGCGGCAGGCAACGAGCCGCGGATGGGAGAATGGGGGGGTGGGAGGAGAGGAGGACGAGGAGGCGGAGGAGGAGGAGGAGGAGGAGGAGGAGGAGGAGGAGGAGGAGGAGGAGGAGGAGGAGGAGGAGGAGGAGGAGGAGGAAGAGGAGGGCCCGGAGCTTGTGCGAACGAAAACAATGCGTCGCAGCCTGTCGCTTCCCGAGTCAGAATTCGACGAGCTGGTGTCGCCTCTAGTCGCACGCGGCGCCGACCGTTCCGCCGGCGGCCTGTACCTCATCGGTCGGGACGGCATGGACGGCACCAGGGCGAGTGGTGGGAGCAGCGGTGGCAGTGGCGGCGGCGGCGGAGCCGTTCCCGAGGTGGGTCTGCTCCGCAGCGCCGTTGGCCAGTCGCTGCTCGTATCACGCACGGGTAGGTGGGAGATCGAACCGCAATCCACTCTGAGACGCCTCCGCCTACCGCGCAAGGAATCCCCGCTGCTCTTTGCGGATCGCGCAGGCCGTGCACAATCGAGCGCGCGCGCGGACGGCTGGGGAGGGAGGGGAGACGAGGGAATCGGGGGACGGGTTGAGGCGGGGGAATGCTGGGAGGGCGCGGGCACCGATTATGTAGCGCGTGCGGGGAGCGCGGAAGAGCGGACGGCGGACGTGCAGGGGGCTTCCGCGGAGAGGTTCTTGCGGAGTGCTGGGGGACGTGCAGGAGGTGCTGCGGGCGGGGGAATGGGTGGGGGAATGGGAGGGGGAATGGGCGGGGGAATGGGCGGGGGAATGGCCGGGGAAGACGTTAGACGGGGAAGGGAGTTCCCAGGGACTTCAGCCATGGGCCCTGTTTCCCCCAAAGGCTACACTGCCTTGCAGGATAGTATCCCGGGCACCATGGGCGGCCGACAGGCGGAAGAGAGATCCAGGGCGGACGATCTTGGGCTCTCCGCGGGATTGGGCGGCCAGGGCGCGCACCTCCCCGGAAGCAGCGGCGGAATGGGCGCAGTCCCGCTGCTTTCCGCCATGCCCAAGTCGCTGAGCATGCCCGTGAGACGCCTGATGCCCCTGCCCTTCAACCTCAGCCAAGTGGCCGCTGCTGCTGCTGCAGGCGCTGCAACAGGCGTGCAGCAGCAGCAGCCGCAGCAGCAGACGCAGCCGCAGCAGGGAGGATGGCCAGGAGGCGGAGGCGGAGGCGGAGGCGGAGGAGGGGGAGGGGGAGGGGGAGGGGGGGGTGGAAGTGGGGAGAGTGTGTCGGTGAAAATGGCAGTGATGATGGAGCGGCTACTGGCGGCCCGAGGGCTGGCTCACGCGGACGGACTGGGTAGGGAGATGGCAGCAGGGGAAGCTGCTGCTGCTGGGGGTGCTGCTGCTGTTGGTGCTGCTGTTGTTGCTGGTGCCGCTACTGCCAATGCTGATGCCGTTGGCTCTGGGAGCTCAGCAGCTATAGGGCGAGCAGGAGCCTCATCATCAGCAGCTTCGGCAACGGCGGCGGCAGCGGCAGTGGCGGCAGCAGCAGGGGAGAGTGGCAGGCTGCTGCTGCTGAGGCCGTTTGAGCGGTCTGTGTCAGCGCGACGGTTTGTGGAGCTGGATGCTCCGCTGGGAGGTGCAGGCCAACACGGCACGGCGCTGTTGACTGGCAATGGCAATGGCACTGGTATTGGCGCTGGTACTGGCACTGGTACTGGCTCTGGACCGGGACCGTACTGGATGGATTTCAGGATCCGCAGCTCGACTGAACGCCTGGGGAAGCTGGTTGATGGTGGTGGTGGTGGTGGAGGAGGAGGAGGAGGATTGGGAGGAGGAGGAGATTTGCCGCATTTTCGTGCCTTGCCGTCCCCTAAGTTGCGGCAGCATCAGCATCCGACCGGTCGCAGCCAATCGTTCCGCTACAGCTACCGTCCTGATCATCATCATCAGCAGCAGCAGCAGCAGCAGCAGCAGCAGCAGCAGAGTTTCCAAAACCAGCATCCCGATTTCCCTCACGCCAATCTGCAGCAACAGCAACAGCAACAGCAGCAGCTGCAAATGAGGCAGCAGATGCAGCTGTGGCAGCTCCAGCAGCAGCAGCAGCAGAGGCGCCCCACCCCCCTACCTGGCCCCATTGCAGGGTTCATACCAGGCCGCCTGTCTCGCTCCCGCATGCTCTCCAAAGCCAAAAGCGAGCCCAGGGGAGGCGGCCTTAATGACCTCCCTGTGCCGCTCTACCCCTCCCCTCCCTCTGTCCCCGTCCCCCCTGCTCATGCCTCTCGCTTCTCCTCCTCCCACCTCCTCACGAGCTCGTCTGCTACGTCCGCAGACCCTGCCGAGTGTCTAGTCGTTGGCAGCAGCAGGGCCACCAGCAGCACCAGTAGCAGCAGTAGGAGTACCAGTTTTGGCCTCGGTGCGAGTACGAGTAACCCCCACGCAGCAGCGCTGGGAGGAGGTGACGCGTCTTTTCCGGGTGCTGGCGGTTCTACTCTCACCCGCCGCAATTCGGGGTTTGTAGTGCCGCGGATATTCATCCCTGGTTCCAACAGCAACGACGCTGACTGCTCCCCAAGCGACAAGGTCTATGCTCTCTCCCGCCCCGACCCAACTGCTGCTGCTCCTGCTGGTGCTTCCGTCGCTGCTGGTGTTGCTATCATCGGTGTTTCTTCTTCTGCTTCCTCCTCCTCCTCTTTATCCTCGTCTGCTGCTCCTGCTGCTGCTACTGTGCCCGTACCGGGAATGGGAGTAGCAGCACGAGCAGCAGCAGCAGGGGCAGGGGCAGCAGGGGCAAAGGCAGGCACACAAACCCGCAGCGGGCCCAGCGCAAGGGGTGGGGCGGCAGGCATGGTCGCAGGGGGTGTAGGACCGGCAGCAGATGGAGCCGTGGGCGTAACAGCAGCAGCAGCAGCAGCAGCAACAACAACAACAACAGCAGCAGCAGCAGCAGCAGCAGGAGGAACAGCAGGAGGAACAGCAGGAGGAAAAGGACGGGCAGGTGCCAGCAGGTCGGTGGATGGCAATGCTGCTGCCCCCCGTGCCCTGCGCAAGTCACAGAGCGCCCCTCGCCGCGGCATGGATGCAGACGCCGATGCTGCTGCTGCCCTCCTGCTCGCCTCCTCCGGGAACCTCCCCTGGAACCACAGCCCTCTGGCCTTCAAACCTGCTGCTGCTGCTGCTGCTGCCCCTGCTGGAGAATCAGCAGCGGCAGCAGCTGTGGTACCAGGAACAGCAGGGCCACAGCGACTCGCCGCACAGGAGCAGAGGCAGCAGCAGCAGCAGCAGCTGCAGCAAGACACACAGCAAGCCCAGCAGCGCAGCCCTTCCCTTCCTCGTCCTCGGCCCGCCCTGCGCATTTCCGTCCCCTCCCCAGCCTCTGAGCTCCCTCTCTCCTCCACAACCACAACATCAGTTCCCTTTGCCCCTGTGAGAGTATCTCAGATTTCACCCAGACTGCCCTCTGCTGGCCTGCCCCCCCTCTCCCCTGGTCCCAACTCTGCCCGACGGTTTGGACTCTCCCATTCCTTCTCCACTTCCGCTGCTGCCGGAGCTGCCAGTAACGCCCCTAGTTTCCCTGCTGCTGCTGGTGCCGCTGCTTCGGCTGCAAATACTGGCGGTAGCGTTGGTGGTGTTGCTACTGCTGGTGGTGCTGCTGCTCTTGGGAGTTCTTTTGCCATTGGAAGTGGGGGTTGGTCCACAGGGGAACCAGGTCCACCTGCACCAGTTCCACCTGGGCCTGCACCAGGACCATCTGGTGCAGGTACTGGTGCAATGGGCATGAGAAAGGCAGAAGGGAAGGCGGGTGTGCGGGAGAGGCGTGGGCTCCACAGGGGGGTGTCTGTTGCTGCGTCTCCTTCTGTTTCGTCCGGTACCTTTGTTTCCTCTGCTTTGTCTTCGTCCGTGTCACGACATCTGCGGCGCACGGTGACAGATCCAACGGAAAGGGGGAGAGGGCAGGAGAGTGTTGTGGCTGCTGCTGCTCCCGCTTCTGCTGCTACGACTGCTGCTGCTGCTGCTTCTGCTGGTGGTGCTGGTGGTGGTTCTGCTGCTACTGGCAGTGCGAGCGGAGTGCCTGTCTCCACAGCACAAGCAACAGGGACGGCGGCAATGGAAGGGGTGGGAGGCGAGGTGATGGCATGGGCGGTTCGTGCGGTGCAGTGCGGTGCTGTTCCTCCTCCTGCTGCTGTTCGCCAGGCTGCCGGCTTGCGGTCAAACAAGTCAAGACGGTCAAGACACTCAAGCAAAGGCCAGCAGCAGCAGCAGCAGCAGCAGCAGCAGCAGCACAGTGGCTTGGCAGAGGCAGGTACGGCTGCTTCTGCTGTGCCTGGTGCTGCTGCTGCTGGTGCTGGTGGTGCTGCTGCTGCTGCACCAGGAGGAGCGTGGAGAAAGCAAGGCAGGACCGCAGCAGTGGTGTCTGAAGGCGTGAGTGCGTGGGTGGGGAGTGTAACCGAGGGAATGGTCACAGGGCAAAGGAGAGCGAGGGTGCCGGCTCACGCGCGGTTACACGACGACGAAGGGCCGTGTGTGGACGAGTCCGTTCTCAAAGACATGGACCTCCCACTCTTCTTCCACTCAGGCCCTCCCTTACAGCACATGCTCGCTCTCGGCCTGCCTCCTGGTGCCTTCCTGCCGAATTCTACTGTGGAAGCACGAGGAGGAGAGGGGGAAGGAGGAGGTGGAATGGGTGGAGAAGGAGTAGGGGGAACGGCAGAGGCCGGTGGTGTTGACACGACGACGACCACCACCGCCACCACGGCCAGCAGCAGCAGCAGGCGTGCATACGCACAGCGAGTCTTCCGCACGAGCCGCTTTCCCCTCTCTCTCGGTGCAGTCGTGTCAGCTTTATCTGACCACATGGGTTCGTTAGCGCCTCCCGGCTCCTCTCTCGCCCTCACTGCTGCCACAGCCGCCGCTGCTGCCGTTGCTGCGGCTGCTTCTGCTGGGGGAGTGGCGGCCGCATCTTCCTCCTCCCTCTCCCCCGTGCCCGTCGCCTCTCCATGGAAGTCGTCTTCCGTTTCCCTGCTCTCATCCCCTGCTCCTCAACCTCCTCTCCCTCCTCACCCTCCTCAGCCTTCTCACCCTCCTCAGCCTCCTCAACTGCCTCTGACCACACCTGCTGCTGCTGTTCCTGCTGCAGCTTCTGCTCCCTGGGGAGCTGTTGAGAACGTGCTTTCCCAGTCTGTGCCTGTGCCTGTTCCTGTCCCTGTGAGTCAAAATTCCACACACCGTCGCAGCCAACCCCTGGTTAAAGGAAAGCTGAATCCGGCTTCTCCTGCTGCTGCCGCCACCGCTACCGCCGCCGCCGCCACCGCCGCCGCCACCGCCACCGCCGCCAACGGCAATAGTAGCATCACCTGTATCAACACGAGCATCAGCAGCAGCAGGAGCAGCAGCAGCAGCAGTTTGCAGTCCCTTAGCCAGCAACCCCATCGTCTTCCCCCCTCACTTGACCCAAAGACCACACTTCCTCTTCCCCCATCCTCCCCCTCCCCACCCCAGCTTACACTCCCCACTCCCTCACTCCTCCCCTTCCCCCCAACTCACCCCACCACCTCTCTCTCCTATTCGCCGCACCCCCCTCGCGTCCCTCCCCGCCCCACTGCGTCTCTCTCCCCTCGCCGAGCACATGTGGGTGTGCATGAGAGAGAGGGGGAGGGCGTGAGGGGGTGGGGAGGAGGGGAGGGGGTGAGAGGAAGCCGTGGGCCCATTAGTGGATTAAAATTGGATGGGCTGGAAGGTGATGGCAAAGAGGCTGCGGTGGGGTTGGCTTCTAAGGGAGCTGTTGCTGCTTCTGCTCCTCCTGCTGCTGCTGCTTCTGCGAGTGGTGATGCTGGTGCAAGAGGAGTGAATGGGAGTCGTAGCTACCGCGGCAGGAATGCTACCCTTGGTATTGCTGCTCCTGCTGCTGCTGCTGCTGCTGCTGCTGCTTCCGCTGCTCCTGCTTCTGCTACTGGTAATGGTGGTGCTAGTCGAGGTGCTGGTGCTGGTGTTTCACTGCCGCCGAGCGATCCTCCAAACGAGCACCAGCATCCGTCTCCTCCCTATCCCCTCATTCTCCCACACCCACCTCCTCACAGCAACACGTCCCCCCCTCGTCCCTCTCCCCACACTCGCCTCTCCCACTCCTCGTCGTCCTCCTCCTCCACTTCTCACCACCACCCTAGCACCACCCCTGCTTCAGCCAGTAGTTCTGCTTCCACCAGCCTCCCCGCCAGCAGTAGCAAGGTTCTGGGGAGTGCAGCAGGGGAGAGACACCAAGGGCTGGATAACACTCGTGCTGCTGCCAGGACTGTGCCTCTCTCCTCTCTCTCCCCTGCTAACGGCGCTCTTTCCTCCTCCACTGCCAACGGCCCTGTGATTGGGACTTCTATTCCCAATGGTTCTGTGAGGGCTGCGCCTAGTGCCTTAAGTGGTGCAAGTGCTTCACGTGGTGCTCCAAGTGCTGCAGGAAGTGTAACAAGTGCAGTAAGTGCAGCAGTTCTGTTTAGTGCCCCGAGCAAGGGACGGCGGGGAGTGGAGCCAGTGGTAGTGGCAAGGACGGGTATAAGTGTCTCGGGCAGGCACAACCTGCCTTCTGCAGCCGCTTCTGCTGCTTCTGACGGTGCAGCTGCTACTGCTTCTGCTGCTGGTGTTGATGGTAGTCACGGTGCGGATGCAGCAACAGCATCAGCAACACCACCAGCAGCGGCAAATGGTGTGGGAGGGAATGATATGGGAGCTGTGCAAGGTGGCGGTGGTGGTGGTGGGGGTGGTGGGGATGGGAATCCCCTGCTGCAAGGAGGGCAACAGGGGGAAGGCTGGAGGGAGAACATCCGGGGGAATGTTCTGAGCCGTGGAAACAAAATGCATGGGGGAAGGGGGGGAGGGAGAGGAGTGCGAGGAAGGAGGGGAGGACGTGTTGGTGGTCGGATCAGTGCCACAGAGCAAGAGCAGGGGCGTGGCAATGGCATGCGTGCGATGGGTGTTGTGGGTGGAAGGTTTCAGATGCCCTTGACTTGAATCTGCTGCTGCTGCTGCTGCTGCTCCTGCTGCTGCTGCTGCTGTTATGGTAGATGTCAGCTTCAACACAACTAATGATGCGGACTGGCTCTAGTGGAGCTGTGTGTTTATACAGTACAAAGTAGGGAGTTACGGTACCGGTACCGGTACCTTGAACGCCCTGTCATTGCAGGCTGGTTTGTGCAGACTTGACCTCTGACTTATGTGAGCCTAAAACAACTTGGGATGTGTGGTTCTAGGAGGTAGGTAGGGCGTGGGTACGGTATTCATGGATTCCAATCATTGTGATGACAAATACTAATGTACACTGTTTATTGGCTCGCTTCGTCGTTCCATGGGTCACGGAAATGCTGGGTGTATTTTCTCATACCAGCTCAGGCCTCCGTCATAGTCACATGACATAGTCACCACACCACAAATCCCCCAGTTCCCCAAGGCAGGCCAATTTCGTGCATGGAGGCTAATAAGCCATTTCTGCAACTCACACTGCTCGTGCTCTGGAAGCCGCCCGCTCGCCGCACAGTTGGAATGGAATGGTTCAGGCACAATCCACAACCTCCACGGTTTTGAGAATGCGATTCTTGTCCTTGATAGCAGCCAGGATGTGCCCATGGCAACAGTGACACATGGCCCTCATACTATGCCACATGGCATGTGCTCCCTGGCTAGTCTGAGGTCATGATTTAATATCATCACTTCAGGTTGTGCCCTTGAGAAATGATTGCCATGTTTTCATTAAGGCAGCGCCGCACAAGAGCAGTGCCACAACAGCAGCATAAATCAACAACTCAAAACATACCAAGAGTAAACTTCACCAACAGGCAACTACGTTCTAGCTCGTTACGCGAACCCAACAACGTCCACAGTTTTGAGAGCAGGGAACTTGTCCTTGATAGCTGCCTGGATGCCCATGGCAACAGTAGGCGGGCCCTCGTACGCCACACGGCATGTGCCCTCTGCCTCGTTCACTTCCACCACCTGCACTCGCCCTCCGAACCCACTGATGGCCGGCCGCAGCATGTCCAGATGGCCGTCTACCGCCTGTTTAGAATGGACGGTGTGGTGGGAGGAGGGGGGGAGGGAGGGGCGGAGCAGGGAGATGCAATGCGAGTGAGTGAAGTGACAGAAGTGATTTCATGCTGCCACTTGAATCAACTAATGCTGGCTGCAGCATGTCCAGATGCCCGTCCACCGCCTGTTGGGGATGGATGGACGGTGGGGGGTGAGGAGGGGGGGATGGAGCAGGGATAGGTGAGTGAGTGAAGTTACAGATATCCTTTCATGCTGCTGGAGCGTCGCCTGCCCGTGCCCTCTGAATCCACTGATGGCCGGCCGCAGCAGGAGGGTGGGGAGGAGGGAGGGATGGAGGGTGGGGAGGAGCGAGGGATGGAGGGTGGGGAGGAGCGAGGGATGGAGGGTGGGGAGGAGCGAGGGATGGAGGGTGGGGAGGAGCGAGGGATGGAGGGTGGGGAGGAGCGAGGGATGGAGGGTGGGGAGGGGGGAGGGATGGAGGGTGGGGAGGAGCGAGGGTTGGAGGGTGGGGAGGAGGGAGGGATGGAGGGTGGGGAGGAGCGAGGGATGGAGGGTGGGGAGGAGGGAGGGATGGAGGGTGGGGAGGAGCGAGGGATGGAGGGTGGGGAGGGGGGAAGGATGGAGGGTGGGGAGGAGCGAGGGTTGGAGGGTGGGGAGGAGGGAGGGATGGAGGGTGGGGAGGAGCGAGGGACGGAGGGTGGGGAGGAGGGAGGGATGGAGGGTGGGGAGGAGCGAGGGACGGAGGGTGGGGAGGAGGGAGGGATGGAGGGTGGGGAGGAGCGAGGGATATTGGAAGATGGGTGCTCTGCTGCTGGTGCACCATCATCTGCCACAGAGACGGCAGTGTAAAGGCAGTGCGGCAGTCAGGGGCGTGGGGGGGCGGAAGGGGAAAGCGTGGACTGCAACGAAGAGGGGTATGTGTGGGCGTAAGAGGGTAACGTTTCGGTGCTCAAATCTCAAGGCGTCTGGTTGGTCGTGTGCGGTAATCGTACTCACGGTATCGGAGGTGACGGAGGTGTCGATGACGTCCTCTTGCACGGCCTCCTTGAGCTGCGTGGGGAGGTCTGTTTGGAGGCGCCGGCGTCTCAAAAGCAGCAACGGGCGATGCATGTATGTGGCAGTACTCACGGCAACGGTGACGGAAGTGTCGATGACGTCCACTTGCACGACCTCCTTGAGCTGCGTGGGGAAGCAGCGCTGCAGCTCCGCCTCGATGCCCATCTTCATTGTGGACGTGGAGCTGGGGCACGTGCCACATGCGCCTGTGGGAGAGAAGGGAGATGATGGGGTGTGTGGGGGGGGGGGGGGGGGGAGAAATTGGGGGAAAACGAAGGGGAGGGAAGCTGAGTGACAGGCAGGAGCTCCGCCTCGATGCCCATCTTCATAGTGGACGTGGAGCTGGGACACGTGCCACACGCGCCTGTGGGTGAAAAGAGGACGGCAAGGGGCGAGGGAAGGGGGGAGGGAAGGGGGGGTGAGTGGGAAATTGACAAACAGCAGCTCCGCCTCGATGCCCGTCTTCGCCGTGGAGCTGGGACACGTGCCACACGCGCCTGTGGAAAGGAGGGTCAAGGGTGTGAGTACGCATAAGAAGAGGGGGGTTAAGAAAAGTTGGCGAGCAGGGGAAAGTGGGGGGGGGAAGAAAAGGGGGGAAAGCACTTGGTCTGGCATGGACGGACTTAGGTCCATCACCAATTTCCGCTACGATCATCAACATCAGCACGGCCATCACCATAACCACATCATCACCAGCAGCAGCACCAGCAGCAGCAGCATCACCAGCACCAGCAGCAGCAGCATCACCAGCACCAGCAGCAGCAGCATCACCAGCCCCAGCATCAAAAGTAGCAGCAGCAGAAGTAGCAGCAACATCACCAGCAGCAGCAGCCGCAGCAGCAACATCAGCACCCACCTTGCAGCCGGACGGACACGACGCCATCGGCGATCCCAGCCACCTCCACATTGCCGCCATCCGCAATGAGGTACGGCCTTACTGCCTCCAACGCCGCATCCACCGCTGCCACCGTCATCTCAACCTCCTCCTTCACCCCTCCTTTGCTGCCCGCGCCCCGTGCAAACGGGCTCACGATAGTGCCTGTGGCCGAATCTGTTGTTGCTGCTGCGGATGCAGTGGCAACAGCAGCAGGGCCGTCTGTGGGTAGAGTGGAGGCTGTCTGTCTGTCAATAACTGAACTCCAGTCGTCGCCCTCCGTGGCCTGGGCGGGTTGACGAGGGCACGGTGGGGAGGAGTTGAGAGGAGTGAGGAGGAATAAGGATGGGAGAGACAGAGAGAGCGAGAGAGGGAGTAGGGGGAGAGGAGAGGAGAGGAGAGGAGAGGTTAGTCGAGGGGAGGAGTGAGAGGAGCAGGGGCACAAGAGGGAAAGTGAAGGCTAGGAGGGGAGAGTGAATGCGAGGCGACGGGGATGATGAGAGGACGAAGCGGGCATGGCAGGGTACAAGGCAAAACAGGAAAACCTGACTAAGGAAGGGTTGGAGGGGGAGGAGGGGAGAGGCAAGCCAAGAAGTGCGCTCAGTCCGGGCAGAGCAAGCAACGTGCGTGCGTGCGTGCGTGCGTGCGTTCGTTTGCTGAACTGAACTCACCCTGAGCAGGTTGAGGCGGCGCGTGCGCGCGTCCTCTGTCTCGTCCGCGACGGCGTCCGCGAGGTTCTCCCCCATGGCCTTGCGCAGCTTCAGCTTCTTCTCCTCGTACTCCGCCACCTCCGCCGCGCTCATCGCCGCCGTGCCCGGCCCGCTCGGGCCCTCCCACTCCGCGCTGCCCATGTGCGCGCGGGGGGGAAGAGAGATAGAGATTGGGGGAAGAGAGATAGAGAGGGGGAGAAGAGAGATAGAGAGGGGGGGAGAGAGATAGAGAGGGGGGGAAGAGAGATAGAGGGGGGGAAAGAGAGATAGAGAGGAGGGGAAGAGAGATAGAGAGGGGGGGAAGAGAGATAGAGAGGGGGGGAAGAGAGCGTCAAAAGTAAGGGAAGACACGAGAGGAAGAGTCAGAATGAGACTTGGGAGGATTGGGGCGAGAAGATGGCTCAAAGGTGACATCTGGTCAGCCGCATTCTGCGGAGACGGTACAGCGACGGTAGAGAATCGAACAATACAACGAAATTTTGGGAGAGCGGGAGTTGAGAAGAGAAGGTGGATGGGGCGGAAAGGGGGAGGTGGGGGGTGTGGGAGGGTGCGAGGGTGTGAGGGGATGTGAGGGGGGTGTGGGGGTTGGAAGGCGGCAGGTTAGGATTAAGGGACGTACAGGTCGGCGCTGTTGCCGGGAGGAAACTTCTGCGAATCAGCGGCACCGGACAGTGCCATGAGCTGCGGGATCCACTTCTGCCGCTCCTCCTCGAGCCGCGCGCGGGTGATCATCGCCGCGTCGCTGTACACGCGCACGCGCACGCTGCTCGCGCGCTCCGCGCCCACGAACGCCGCGTGGCCCTTGAGCGCGAGAACGACGCTGCGGCTGAACCCCACGTACTGCAGCGCGCCCGCCGCGTCGTACACGGCGTAGATTCCGGCGAGCTTGAGCGTCTCGCGGCGCGCGACGTAGTCGGAGAGCGGCAGCTGCAGCGACCCGTCGTCCTCGCCCTGCTGTAACGCGTACGACTGCGACGGCGCGTCGTGCACGTCTGTGACACACAGAGAGAACGGGACAGGAGAGGGGACAATGGAGGATAGACGGGAGAAAGATCAGGGAAGGATGTGAAAGGGGGAAAATAGATAGAGGAGGGAGGCAAAGGCTGCATAAGCTTACAGAATTTTCACAAGGACCTTCAAGGCCAATCCTGCCGCCAATTTCTCCCTACTCCCTCCCCTCAGTCCTAGCTTCCCTCAATTCCCACACAACTAGTCGCATTCTCACGACCCTGGGCCCAATTCCTCATATAACCCGCGCCTATCCCACGGAGAGCGGTAGAGGAACCCGTTTAACCCGCGCCTCAAAGTCGTCTCATCGTACCTGTGCGCTGCGAGCCGTTTGGGAAGCTGTTCAATCTATTCAAAAGAGTCGAGTGTAGCCGTATCTGCGCCCTGCGAGCCGTTTAGTTAGCCGTTCAATCTTTAAAAACGAGTCGAGAGTGGCCGTACCTGCGCCCTGCGAGCCGTACAGGAACCCGTGCAGCCCCTGGTGACCCTCGGGGACCGTCTCGTCGGTCATCACGGTGCCCAGCACTCGCACCGCGGGCCCCTCCACCATGCCGTTATCCATCGCCACTTCCTTCGCCTCCCTCGCTCGCTCCTGCTGTTGCTGCTGCTGCTGCTGCTGTTGTTGCGCGGACGCTGAGACCGTCACTGGCGCGGGGCGCGAGCCGCGTCGCTGGCGTGGGCTGGAGCGACTGGTTAAGGAGAATTTCGACGGTGAATTCGCGCAGAGGTTGTGCTGGTGTGCGCGACGGTGAAGCTCCGTTGCTGCGCTGTGGAGCCCCGTGGAGCCGCACAAGGCGGTTGCTGAGCGTGCGAGAGCCGCCATGGCGCTAGATTGCTGAGAGGCGGAATAGAGCGACGAGAGGCACAACAGAATAACAGAAGCGACGAAGTATGGACGTGTCTCTGCCGCTGCTGCTGCTGCTGCTGGCTCAGATGTGTGCTGGAGTGTGACGGAAGAACTTGGGCAATTCACGAAACAACTTCTTTAAGCCAAGTGCACGAACGAGTTTTGAGTGGCGGCAGGTGAGTGAACTGTGAATGCTTCCCGTAGCTGGTTTTCGAGTCCTGTCCTCAGTCCTGCCCTGACTCGCACAAGGGGGGCTCTGTAACGCGGTTATGTTTGGTTTGATTCGGAGGTGGGAGGTATGGAATCGGGAGAACAGAAACTCCGAGCTGACGCACAAAACCAGACCGGTGTTGTCTGGATTCTAAGGACGCGGCACCTCCAGCACCGATCCTGCGATCGAACCTGCGCAGGATTGAATGTTTTAGAAGTTTTAAATGGTTTCAAAAGCTTTAAAAGCTTTCAGCAGGATTTCAGTACGGTTAAATCAGCAACCCTGCGATCCATCGTGCAAAATTGCTTGAGGTGCCGCGTCCTAAGAGGCTCCACCCCACCCCACACCCCAGAGAGAACGTTTGATGTGGTTTGGATTCTGTGTGGTCGTCACGGGCCGCCACGTCGTACGGGGGGATGCTGCTCCTGAACTGACCGACATTCACGAACCTAGACATTGAGGGCGACATAATGTTACGGAAGATACACACAGTCCTCGCCAATTTCACGCCCCGTCAGTTTTTCCTTAAAACCAAACTGACCTTATCTGGCTATAGAGGGTACGACATCCACGAACTAGAGGCTATCCGAGGCATTGTGACATTTCGATGTTGCCCCTTCTGACGTTGAGATTGCAACGCAAATACTGAATCTTCCGCTGCGACCATGTTTCTTTTATTTTTCCGCTGACTCATGTGCGCAGTCCAGGTCATTGGTTTCCTTAAAGCCAATTTGTTTGAAACAGCCCTTAAATTGGGGTGATTTTAAAATGAATACACAGGGGGGTGAAATTGGCCCTAGTGAAGTTGGCGAGGACTTGGTGTACAAATACCGTACAATGTTTAGGGAAATGAATACTGGCGAAATCGCGCGCATCGGCGAAAATCGTTTTTGTCTCAAGAGAATCGGACAATTCGAACTGCGATCTCATTTTCCTAGTGCGGGTTTGCAAATGCAATCTTTTCGGGCAGAACCATGCGGCTGCCCGTGTTTAGGGTTGGGGCTCCCCGTGTTTAGGGTTGGGGCTCCCCTAATCGCTTGCCATCCAGATGGGGTTTATTTTTTTCTGACCGCGGGCAGATTACGACCCATCAGCTTCTTCCAGGCGGACTGTTAGGGATCGCATTTGCAAACCGCGCTGGCTTAATTGGATTGCAGCTGAAGTTGTCCCCAAAAGAATCGACCCAAATTGCTCCCCCCTCGCCACGTGGGCGTTTTTCTAAATTGGATGGACCTCCCTTCCCCCCGCCCCCCCAGCCCGTTTTTCCCGCCCGTCCCCACCGAAATTCGGGCAGCCGCGTGCACTCGCGTGAACTTCGGAATTGCCACAACCAGTCACGAAAAGCAGGCAACCACCCTCATGCCACGTGTTAAAGTTCGTGTAGGATGCCACATAATTTTTCCCAACATAAGTTCGGAAATTCCTGGGCCATAATTTCTAACTCGTGAGGCTTATATGCAGGTTGATTGTACCATGTCTTTCGGGATCTGGCCTTGTCAGTTCCCGCCATCACGGACTCATGATCGAAGCATTCGTGTACTTCAACGGTTCATGAACCCGTCCGTTAGCATCATGTTTCTGTGTCTGTTAGTCGAGGCTCCCGTTTTACATTACCTAGTAGACACTGAACGCAGTCATTAGTTTAGGCAACGCTTCACTAATATCCGGGCCCGCATTAGTACTCCACTCAATAGTCATAGCTACTCTCAGACAAAACTCTTCACCATGTAGCGTCTAACGCCTGCGTATGGCCTCCAATCCCTTAGCGCAGGCCTTGCGACAGCTTAATGCGGCTCCCGAGTTCAACCCTAGGTACGACAGGCCCAACGATTACGCGCCATTAGAGTTGGGGGGCCTGTACTCTAGCCGTGATAAATGCAAGGAGGCCGTTTATGCGTACGCACTAGAGCATCGGTTTGGTGTAAAAGTCCTTTTAGTCAAGCATAACTACGCAGTGGTTGGGTGCAAGGCTACATCGGACGGATGGTTACCGACGTGCCTATGGAGCTGCTCATACGGTCAAATCGGCCACGGTGGCTTATGGCGCATTACTCGCCTGGTTCCTCCGGAGATGCATACATGTCCATTGGATTGGCGGCAGGGTTACGCAGAGGGGTTAGCCAACACTATTCCCATCCTGTCTCGGCGATACGGCAATTTGGTCCGTGCAAATCCATTCATCTCACCCGTGGAGCTCAAGAGAAAGCTCGAGGGTCATGGAAACGTAGTGATCCACGACTGGCAGGCTTGGCGGCTGCGAGAGTACATCTTAAAGGAGCGATATGGAGATTGGAAGGAGTCGTTTCGCCAGGTTCCGTGGCTTCTCACTCGTTTCACAGTCATCGATCCGGAAGTTCAAGTGCGGTTGGACACATTAGGAGGGTGTTTTCACTGATTCTACGTGCGTCCCTCTGCAGCACGGCATGCGTTAAATTATTGCCGCCCTGTTGTTGCGCTTGACGGCACACATCTCATTAGTGCGCAAAAGGCTGTGCTGCTCATCGCCGTCACCATTGACGGGAACCAAGAGATTTTGTTACTTGCATGGGCCTTGGTGGAGTCGGAGAACAAGGACGCGTTGACCTGGTTTCTGAAGCTGTTCCTTGAGGAGTTCCGAGAGTGGGTGCAAGGGGACGACGCGTCCATCATCAGCGACCGCGGTAAGGGGTTGGTGCCGGCAGCAAGGGAGGTGATGCCAAGCCACATCCCCCATTATTTCTGTGCATGGCATCTGGAGCAAAACCTTAAGCGTTTTGGCAAAGCGGCAACAGCGTTCTTCTGGCGCTTGGTGAAGTGTCGGTGTGAAACGAAATGGGTTGCGCTTGTCGGGGCCGCACGACGAGATTTTCCTGACATGGCGGCATATCTGTTCGGACCTGTCCGGCAGCAGCCACAGCGACAACCCCAGCCGGCTCCTCAGGTCCCCCCTCCTGGAGCCCGGGCAACATTTGAGGGGGCCAGGGAGTTCGTGTTCGCGGGTGCTCGCGAAGGGAGGAGGGCACAGCGAGGGCAAGGGCGTGGTGGCAACGCAAGAAATGGTGGCGCCGACACCGCATCCCAACCCGTCGAGAGTGGGTTCCCGGAGGGCAACACGTCCGCGTACAACAGGCGTGGCGGCGGTCTGGCTAGCAGGGGGGGGATGAACGCACCTGGAAGACGGGCCAGAGTGCACGAGGGTATTGGAGTCCCATCAGGGATACCAGACGAAGAGGATGGCGGAGCACCTGCTTTAAGCATCGGCCGTGGAGGGCGAGGACGAGCTTCATGTGGAAGTGGTCGCAGAGGGAGAGGCGGTGGCGTTGCAGGGACGGGCCTTGGCAGGGGAGGTAGAGGAGTGCCCCTTGGGGGCGATTGCGGAGGGCAGGGGGGTGGCGGATCGGAATTCACGGGGGTTGGTGGTGGAGTAAGGGGAGTGCCGCTCGGTGAGGCCACCGGGGAACAGGGGGTTGCCGGTGCAGGATGGTCCGGCATTGGAGGTGGAGGGAGGGGAGTGCCGCTTGGTGGGGCTCCTGGAGAGTAGGGGGGTGCCGGAGCAGGATGGTCCGGCATTGGAGGTGGAGGGAGCGGAGTCCCGCTTGGTGGGGCTCCTGGAGGGCAGGGGGATGCCGGAGCAGGATGGTCAAGCATTAGAGGTGGAGGGAGGGGAGTCTCACTTGGTGGGGCTCCTGGAGGGCAGGGGGTCCCGGAGCAAGATGGTCCGGGATTGGAGGTGGAGGGAGGGGAGTGCCGCTTGGTGGGGCTCCTGGAGGGCAGGGGGATGCCGGAGCAGGATGGTCCGGCATTGGAGGTGGAGGGAGCGGAGTCCCGCTTGGTGGGGCTCCTGGAGGGCAGGGGGGTGCCGGAGCAGGATGGTCCGGCATTAGAGGTGGAGGGAGCGGAGTCCCGCTTGGTGGGGCTCCTGGAGGGCAGGGGGGTGCCGGAGCAGGATGGTCCGGCATTGGAGATGGAGGGAGCGGAGTCCCGCTCGGTGGGGCTCCTGGAGGGCAGGGGGATGCTGGAGCAGGATGGTCCGGGATTGGAGGTGGAGGGAGTGGAGTGCCGCTTGGTGGGGCTCCTGGAGGGCGGGGGGGTCCCGGAGCAGGATGGTCCGGGAGGTGGAGGGAGGGGAGTGCCGCTTGGTGGAGCTCCTGGAGGGCAGGGGGATGCTGGAGCAGGATGGTCCGGCATTGGAGGTGGAGGGAGCGGAGTCCCGCTTGGTGGGGCTCCTGGAGGGCAAGGGGGTGCCGGAGTAGGATGGTCCGGCATTGGAGGTGGAGGGAGCGGATTCCCGCTTGGTGGGGCTCCTGGAGGGCAGGGGGGTGCCGGAGCAGGATGGTCCGGCATTGGAGGGGGAGAGAGCGGAGTCCCGCTTGGTGGGGCTCCTGGAGGGCAGGGGGATGCCGGAGCAGGATGGTCCGGGATTGGGGGTGGAGGGAGGGGAGTGCCGCTTGGTGGGGCTCCTGGAGGGCAGGGGGGTGCCGGAGCAGGATGGTCCGGCATTGGAGGTGGAGGGAGCGGATTCCCGCTTGGTGGGGCTCCTGGAGGGCAGGGGGATGCCGGAGCACGATGGTCCGACACTGGAGGTAGAGGGAGGGGAGTCCCGCTTGGTGGGGCTCCTGTAGGGCAGGGGGGTCCCGGAGCAGGATGGTCCGGGATTGGAGGTGGAGGGAGGGGAGTGCCGCTTGGTTGGGCTCCTAGAGGGCAGGGGGGTGCCCGTGCAGGATGGTCAGGCCTTGGGAGTGCGGATGGGGGGGAGCCGTTGTTCGGCCTTGGAGCAAGAGATAGTGTATATGCTGTGAGCGGTGAAGTGGTGGGGTCTTGGTCTAGTCCTCAGAATGCTGGACGTAGGCCACACCAAAGAGGGCGACGCGGTGATGTTAGGTTTGGTGTGGGATCCGGGGTTGGCCTAGGCGCGGATTTCAGGGGTGGGGTGGGGTCCGTTGGAAGGGGGGGCTCACCAGTGCCCGCTGGGGACGATGTGCGGCGTGCTCCAGCGTCTGGGAGTGATAATGGTTTGGCTTCCTGCTCCACGGGTGATGGGATTGGCGCTCTCACCACTGTGGGGAACCCGGGTGCACAGGCATTTGACGTCAACTCGGTCCTGCGACGTGCCCGGGAGTGGTACCAGGCAGAGGACATTGACACGGGGAGGACCACGAGCACTCAGGGTGAAGAGATGGGTGGGTTTGCTGAGCACTTCTACCCAGCATCGGCTCTCGCTCTGCCATGGCCAGACTGCGGGCAGCGGAGCAACAATCCTGCGCAAGGGCCGGACGAGCCTGCATGTGAGGATGATCTGGTGCCAGAGGATGCCAGGGAGGATGCGGATGGGGCGGCCGATGGTGAGGGAGAGCCCGGAATACATGTGCGCACCGGGTTCTATCGTAACAGGCGCGGATCATCCTATCGCATTGGGGGGATCATGCTGCTGCACTAGGCCCGTCTTTTTGCGGTGACTCTGCGTTTTGGCATCTACACAAACAACGCCGCCGAGTGGCATCTACACAAGTAACGCCGCCGAGTCCATCAACAGCGCTGTCCGCGGCATCCGCATGCTGCCACCAACATGGCTCCTTGCATCGCTTTGGGATTGGTCTCGCGACAAGTAGTACGAGAGGAAGGAGAAGGTGCGTTGGAGGGATGAGTATCTCACGGCGGCCGCATCGAAGCGTCTTGACCAAAAGAAGCAGAGGTGCCAGGGGTATTGGTTCATCGGTGGGAACAACACGGTGGGAACCATCCAGACCAGGGGGGGGGGAAACGAGTCCCAGTGGCGGAGCTTCAACGTGAAACTCGACGCCCGGACGTGCGAGTGCGGGAACTAGGAGGAGTACCAGTTCCCTTGTGCCCACGCAGTGGCAATGTGTATTCTGAAGCAGCGGAGTGTGGAGATCCTGGTGTCTGAGTACTACACCACGCGCAATCTTCGCCAGACATACAACCGGGATATGTTGGGTACCTGTGTTGACTGGCTGGTTATGGAGGCTCCAAAGGCAGCAGAGGGCGAGTGCGATGCACCAGCGCTGATCGAGACGAGGGTTGGGAGGCCAGAGAATCACACCCGGTTTGAGGCACCGCCGCACGCTTATCGGTGTGGGCGATGCCGACAGTACGGGCACAACCGCAAAAGGTGCAAGTACAAGTTCGGTGGGTACGGTCAGGCGCAGGCTGCGGTGGGGGAGGAGGAGGAGGAGGAGGAGGAGGAGGAGGAGGAGGAGGAGGAGGGGGAGGATGGAACTGCTGCGGGTGAGCAGGGAGGGGAGGACCAAGCTGCCCCCGAATGAATGGGGAGTACAACTGGCTTTCCCTTGCGAGTGTTGTGGCCTAGTTTTTTATTGTTGAATCTTCACATAAAACTCACCGAAGCATACTTTTCAGAATTGCTGTTTTGAGTCTTGGATAACAACAGACCCTAGCAGAGAAGGTGATGCATGCACTGTAAACAACAGCGTGCGTTCAATGCTTAGTAAAAAATACACAAACACATCAGGCTATATGGAAAGACGATGCACGTGTGTATAGCGTGTACTTAGTTTCTGTGTACTTCTTTCTCCAGCATTGGTGCATATAGCGTTATGATCACAACTCTTACAGTCATGTTTCGTAGAACAGTACATCGCGAGGCTAAGCCGCGAAACTATTCAGGACGAATCATGAAAACCCTTAAGTGCTTGAAGCGAGTACCCCGCTTTAATTCCCATCTTGATCGCATATCGAGCTGTCATGTTTTGAACAGCTATCATGCGCGGGGCCTAGTATTCGAGCGCGAATCCTTACGTGATGAATCATGAACATTATCGTGGGAGAGGCTTGGAGGAATCATGAACATTATCATGAACTGTCATGGATGTGATGCCTGCCACATGATTCGTCGTCGGGGTTGATTGAATTTCGCACGAAGGAACATGACCCGAAAATGGTCCCCTTTTTGCGTGTCGTTCGATCTGCGTATTGTATGTGCCGACTTTGTGTAGAATAATACACCACCATTCTCTAAAGTATCGCCGTTTACACAATGCCACCACGATTTTTAAAACGCTGAGTTTGGACTCGATATTAAAACGCAAAATTGGCGGTAGGCTAACCACCATAGCGCAAAATCCGTTCCTACAGCAACCACAATAACTACATCACGCAGGATATAACTTGGACATCAAGCACCACGACATTACCAGGAGCTTGACATTTGCAACTATTGTGCTGCTATCAGAAGTTGATCCAAGTCATGATCACCTCAGTAAGGTTGGCACTGGCACACCACTGACCAGGAGATGATGCTGACAAAATTAGAAGAAAGAAAGAGGAATGAACTAGCAGAAATGGGGATACAAATAGCAAACCCTAGAAGGGTTGTACTCGCTATAGAGCACCCCACTACAGGCTAGAACATAGGAATAATATTCTGACACACCCCCATAGCCAAAGTGGGGTGTAATCAGCAGAGCAGGCAAAGCAAAACAAGCTCAGGGTGGATCACAATGTCACCACACATTCTGAGCACAAGTTCAAGAAGAAATAGTTTAGAGTTCACAATTATAAGCAAAGCTAGTGGTAGTCACAACGGGCAAGTGAGGAGGAGGAGGGAGAGTGAGGGGAGAGGAGACAGGAGGCGACGGCTGAAGCTGCAGACACACGGGCAACAGGAGGCAGACTGGCACAGCGGCTACCGGACAGCGCCCGGACTACAGGAGTAACAGGCCCCGCGGCTCAAATAGCGGCGGACGGGCAACGGACCCACGGGCGGCTGGCACAGCTGGCTACGACTGGGCTACCGGGACAGCGCCCCGGACTACAGGTGCTGCGGACGACAAGCCGGCAGCCTCCGCTCAACCTCCCGCAAACAGTCCCACCCCCCTGATGCACACCCACTGCTACACCACTAGCTGCACTCCCACGCACCCCCCTTAAACCCTAAACCCGAGTCTCCCACACAACCACCCCCCTCAGCGACAGCTGCAGCAGTGGGAGACGAAGGAGGAGGAGGAGCAAAGGGAGGAAGGCACACCGAGCACCCCCATACCCGCCACCCCACAGCGGCCCCCGAAGGAGCCGCGACGGGCGACGGGAAATGGCAGGGGGAGGGGGGGGGGGGGGGGGGGGGAGGCGGTGTGGTGAAAGGGGCCCACCACGGGCCTGGTTGGAGGGCGGGGCCGCGACAAGGGGCGGGGCCGCGACGAGGGGCGGGGCCGCGACGAGGGGCGGGGCCGCGACGAGGGGCGGGGCCGCGACGAGGGGCGGGGCCGCGACGAGGGGCGGGGCCGCGACGGTCGGGCAGGGCCGCTTCGAGGGGCGGGGCCGCGACACAGGGCGGGGCCGCGACGTAGGGCAGGGCCGCTTCGAGGGGCGGGGCCGCGACGCAGGGCGGGGCCGCGACGTAGGGCGGGGCCGTGACGTAGGGCGGACGCCCGCGAAGGTAGGGCAGACGCCCGCCGCGCGCCTCGGGGCGCACAGCGGGCAAAGAACCGCCGCGCGCCCCGGGGCGCACGGCGGGCAGAAAACCGCCGCGCGCCTCGGGGCGCACGGCGGGAAGGAAAACCGCCGCGCGCCTCGGGGCGCACGGCGGGAAGGAAAGGTAGCAACGGAAGCGAGGTGGAAACCCACCCACAGGATCGATCCAAGGAGATCGACCTGCTCTGATAGCATGACAAAATTAGAAGAAAGAAAGAGGAATGAACTAGCAGAAATGGGGATACAAATAGCAAACCCTAGAAGGGTTGTACTCGCTATAGAGCACCCCACTACAGGCTAGAACATAGGAATAATATTCTGACAGATGCTATGCCGGAGCACACCACTGACAAGGAGGTGATGGGCCCTTGACCTCAATAGGAGAGTGAATGTACGCTTAATTCTTGCAATGGCACACCACTGACCTAAAAGTGGAATACTTTATGTATTCCAAAAGAAGTGAATAGAAAGTGCTGTATATTATAATTGTCATACAAGGCTACTCTCATCATGCCTGTATTCAGCGCCAAGGTTGGGATCAGGGCATTACCTGTTCAGTGAGACCTTTGATACCTATATTCGACACTAAACCCGTGTTCATGGGCGTTGTTACTGTTTGAGTTGTTTTCTCTGCATTTGTAGAATCGAAATACGATGTGTTCCACCATCCGTTAATATAAGCCAGTGTTTGTCACTTTTACCCAAACCTAAAAGCTTATCGGGACGTGCAGTAGGGGGGTTAGATTCGTGGGCGTGTGGCGTACGGGACCACCACGCGTCATGAACAGTCCCGCTAGGCCTTCGACGAGATCATGATGGTCTGTGCTGTCATGGTCGTAGGCCGTACTCCCATGTCCCATCACATTTGGCTTGCAAGTGTGTTGCTGCGCTATCATTTGGGTTCGTTACCGCCAGGTTGGGGTAAGTAAGAAATCAAAGTCAAAGCTAACAGCAAACACTACGTAGTCCAGTTACTGCTACAGTCCTAAAAACCTCGGAAAGAGAAACAAACCCCAGAGAGCGAAAAACAACATAGTGTTCATGAAAAGCAGCTCCATGTAAAAGAGATTCCACAACGATAAACCCCATTGGACCATCATCACATTCTTCAGCTGCTGGGCTCTAACACACAGAAGACGAGAAGAGCAAGTTAATGTCCACCGTAGCTAGTGCGCATCCTGATCCATAACATCAGCGGGATATGAGGAAACAAAACCAATACTTGGCGGGTGGGTTGTCCCGTTGTTGCCTACATCCCCCTCGTCGCTCTTTGGCAGCGAAGCAAACGCCACTACATTAACCTGCACAAGGGGATTGGTCACTGTGGCTTGCGTAGATGGGGCTGGTGGGGCGGGAGTAAGCCACGCAGGCATAGGAGTTGGCCCGACGTGCACAGCAGTAGCTCCAAAAGGAGGGGTGGGCTGTGCAGGTGCAAGAGCCATGGCAGGAGGGGCGATGACTGCATTCGCCGGGGCAAGTCGGGTTGGAGCAGCTCCGGGTAGGGTTGGCGCTGCAGCCACGATCGCGGGGGGTGCAGGGGCGGGATTAGCACCACCGAGGGACGCAAGCTCCACGCGCCACCTTTCCCACCGTCCCCAGACGCGTGCGGTAGTGAGCTGCCGGACGATGTCGTGTGTGCAGCCATCCAGCAGGTCCATCTCCTCTCCGGTGAGCTACCACACACGACCCCTAGGTGGCTTGCTCCGCCAGATCACGGCTGCAGCAGCAACAAACGCGCGGGCCGCTTGCTACTGGTCAGGGAAGTTGCCGAGAATCAGCGTCCTTGATGACCAAGGCTCAGGGACAATTTTCGCTTGCCAAGTTCCGTCAAGGAGGAGCCTAACACCAGCGTACTCCCCCGATCCACCCACTCCCCCGACAGAGTGTGCTGGCGCTGGCGGCGGCCCCATACACCGAGACTGATCCTCCGAATGGGCAGGCAAAGCTTCTGCGCGCGCACCGCGACGAGTCGGGGTCATTGCATCGCCGGTCGTACCAAGCAGCAACCCGTTGATAACGCCGTGGGCCGCCTGAAACTGATGAGAATCCCCCTGTTGCTCGGACAGCATCACGCAGCTTCGCGTCGAGTTCGGCAAGCTCCGGAGACACTGGCTTATTCACGCACTTGCTCAGCGGCGGATCCTGGTGGGGCACCATAACTCCAGACCTCTCCAACATTGGGATCAACCTCTTGAGTGCGTGTTCGACTATGTCCCCACGCATCCCCCTCCGGAACAGGCCAGCACCATAGGGCAAGGCGGGCAGCCCATCGTCCAGATTCGCGAAGCCGCGGGCAATCAGCTCCGATGCGTAGATGCAGACGTAGACACCACAGTCTACTTGGTTGGCCTGCATCGGGCATTGATAGTACTGCACACCCAGAAGCACACAATGTCAGGAACATTGTAGGACGTTCCATGGATGCGGTCTGTGAAAAAATAGATGCGCGAAGACTTTAGTGCTTACCCCAAGCGGGATGCAAGGTATAGGATCAAGTCGCTGCTTGATTTCGGTGGCAGAGAGGCCGGGCTCCTCGGCTTGTAACGCCAGACCGAGAAGCCTGAACAGAAGAACGATGCATGCAGTAGTGCATAAGAAGCCGTGAAACGACCATGCGATTCATGGCCTTGCAACTTACGTTTGGATCTCGGCGAACACCGACGGAGCCATGTTCCGATGATCACCTGTCGAGTCGAAGAGGTAAGCTACCAGAAGCTCTGTGTTCCCCGATTTCAGAGCACTGGTTCTTGCCCTGCCAGGCTCCTTGACAACAACTAGGCTGAAATGCCTTGGCTCACTGCCACAATGTCAGAACATTATAGCTTATGCTTTTGTGTAGGCTGTAGTGGGGTAGCCCATATAGGGTACAACCCAATTAGGGTTAGTACTTGTACCCAACTCTTTCATAGTGAATTCATTCTCGTTTCAGTTTTCTCATGGTATCGAGCAGGTTCCATCGTGGGAACTGTTCCTAGGGCCCACCGATTCGATTTTTTTTTTCCTGCCCGGAGCGCGCTCACCCTTGCCCGAGTCGCGCTCCCCCTTTTCTCACTATGTCGCGCCGCCCTTGACGGCCCCGATCCGCCGCCCTAGCGGCCCCGTCGCCTACCCCGCGGCCCTCGAGCCGCCCTTCCCGACCCAGATTCGCCGCCCTTTCGGCCCCGTCGCCTACCCCGCGGCCCTCGCGCCGCCCTTCCCGACCCGTCCCCCACCCTGCGGCCCCGTCGCCTACCTGCGACCCCGCCGCCTACCTGCGGCCCCGCCGCCTACCTGCGGCCTCGTCGCCTACCTGCGGCCCCGCCGCCTACCTGCGGCTCCGTCGCCTACCTGCGGCCCCACCGCCTACCTGCGGCCCCGTCGCCTACCTGCGGCCCCGTCGCCTACCTGCTGCCCCGTCGCCTACCTGCGGCCCCGTCGCCTACCTGCGGCCCCGTCGCCCACCCGCGGCCCCGTCGCTGCCCTTCCCGGCTCAGGCGCCGCCCTTTCTCGGCCCCGACGCCGCCCCTTCCCGGCCCCGGCCCAGCCCCTGCTGGCCCCTTCGCACGCCCTTCCCGGCCCCGACCCCGCCTTCACGCGGCTCCGCCGAGCTATTGCCGAGCCGCCAGCGCCAACCGAGCCGCCGCGCCACCTGAGCCGCCCGACCCGCCGTCCCGCCGCGCCGCCTGAGCCGCCCGAGCCGCCCGAGCCGCCCGAGCCGCCGTCCCGCCGAGCCGCCCGAGCCGCCCGAGTCGCCTGAGCCGCCCGAGCCGCCAAGCTGCACTTCCTGCCGAGCTGCCGAGCCGCCGAGCTGCCCGAGCCGCCCTGTCCGGTAAGAGCAGCGCCTCTGTCACTGCACTGCCCTTACCCCACTGTTCGCGCTACTAGTCTACTGCTGTCATGGCTACCCCTAGTGTCCTCGCTTTTGACGCTGAGGGTCGGGCCATTGACTTTGACGTCTGGGTAGATGACCTGCAGCTTCTCCTACAGTGCGATAGGGCAGACGGTCTCTCCCTCTTTGACCTCACCTCTGGTGCCTCTCCTGACCCTGCTACTGATGCTGACGCCACTGTTCGCTCACAGTGGGCCACACGCAATGCTGCTGCACGTCTTGCTGTGCGTCGCCACCTGCCTACCTCTCAGCGTGAGCACTTTAGCCAGTACAAGAGTGCTCAGACCTTGTACGACGCTGTAGTTGCACGCTACTCCTCCCCTGCCACTGCTGCACTGAGCCGCCTCATGCTACCGTACCTCTTCCCTGACCTTGCTGCCTTTCCCACAGTCGCTGACCTCATTACGCACCTCCGCACTAGTGACACTCGCTACCGCGCTGCGCTTCGTGCTGACTTCTGCGCCAAGAACCCCCCCCCCATGTACATCACTCTCTACTACATAGTCACCCGCCTCCCTGACTCCCTTCCCGTAGTCAGGGACCACTTCCTCTCAGTTTGCCCCACCACCCTCACCGTTGACCTCCTCGAGAAGGCCCTCCTAGCAGCGGAGAAGAGCATAGTCGCTGTAGGAGCCTCTCGTGGTGACCCTCGCACCCCCATCTTTGAGGGGTGTTCCCCCTCCCCCCTTCTGCCCTCTGTTGCCTATGCTGCTGCGGCCGACCTCGTTGGGCATGAGTCGGTTGGTGCGGCGTCTACCCATAGCGGGAGACGCCGCCCTAGCAGGGCAAGAGGGTCAGGGGCGCTGGAGGAGTTACCGGGGGCGGTGGAGGAGGCAGTGGAGGCGGCGGAGGGAGTGGGGGTGGCGGTGGGGGTGGTGGCGGGGGTGGAAGTGTCGGTGGCGGCAGTGGAGGCGGAGGCGGCGGCGGCGGATGCGGTGGGAGCGGAGGTGGTGGCGGAGGTGGCGGCGGTGGACGAGGCGGCGGCGGAGGAGGTGGAGCTGGTCGGGGCAGCGCTGCGCAGAGGGTCGGCTCTGGTGGAGGTCAGCGCCAGCAGCAGCAGCAGCGCACTTGTGACATCCCCTCCCCTCAGCAGCTCCGTGAGTGGTACACTGCACGACAGCGGGGTGGGGGTACTGGTCCGTGCGCCTACGTCCTACGCACCGGCGACCGCGCGGGTGAGCAGTGCGGGGGTGTGCACTCCACCCAGCGCTGCTTTGGCCACCTGATGGACGCTTGGCGTCACCAGTTCCCGGAGGCCACGAAGATCCCCCGCTGGGGTGAGCTGTCTAGGGCGGGAGTAGCTGTCTTTGACCTTGACTTTGATGCTATTCTTGCTGCCATGTATGCTGTGACTATTAGTGATGAGGGTGACTGTTACCGGTGTTTTCCGCCCGACCCGGGCATTGAGACTGCCGCTCTAGGTACTGGTGAGGCTGCTTCTCTAGGTGCTAGCGAGGGTGCTGCTCTAGGTGCTCGTGCGTCTGCTCTCCAGGTGCTGGTGAGTCTGCTCTCTCAGGTACTGCGTTGGCTTCGGCCTCCCACACCTTCACCCTTGACTCGGGGGCTTCTCGCTCCTTCTTTCAAGACCGCACCACACTCACGCCGCTTGGCCGGCCAGTTGCAGTCTCTCTAACAGACCCCTCTGGGGGTCTTGTCCTTGCTCACTACTCCACTGTCCTCCCGTGTCCGGCAGCCCCCTCTGGCACCCTATCTGGTCTTTACCTCCCCTCGTTCTCTACGAACTTGGTGAGTGGTGCTGACCTACAGGATGCGGGGGTTCACCAGTTCACTCCTGCGCGTCAGCGGGTGACCCACTGCACGGACGCTCGGACAGGCCGACACCTGGCCACGTTTACACGTCGGCCGGGGTCGAGCCTGTACACACTGACCACTGCGTCTCCTCCAGTCACTGCGTCTGGTCACGTAGCTGCGTCGGGTCAGGTGTTTTTTGCAGCGTCCAGGTCTGGTCCTGAGTCTGCCCCCTGCTCGTGTCGCCTCCTGTCTCACGAGACTCTCCTCTGGCACCACCGCCTTGGTCACCCCTCCCTGATTCGTCTCCGAGGCATGGCCTCCCGTGTCCTTGTCTCTGGTCTTCCCCGGTCCCTACCTCACCTTCCTCTTGGGCTTGGCCCTACCTGCGTCCCCTGCGTCGAGGGGCGGCAGCGGGCTGCCCCTCACTCCTCCCAGTTTCCTCCGACAGAGGCCCCGCTGCAGACGCTTCACATGGACGTGTGGGGCCCGGCCCGCGTCCGTGGACAGGGTCACGAGCGCTACTTCCTGCTGGTGGTTGACGACTACTCGCGTTACACCACAGTCTTCCCCTTGCGCAGCAAGGGTGATGTCATTGCGGTGTTGATCGACTGGATCCGCGCAGCTCGTCTCCAGCTCAGGCAGAGCTTCGGCTCGGACTTTCCTGTTCTGCGTCTGCATTCTGACCGAGGCGGAGAGTTCTCCTCTGGCCTTCTGCGAGCCTACTGTCGTGCACGAGGCATCCGCTAGACCTTCACGCTCTCGGACTCCCCACAGCAAAATGGGATTGCTGAGCGCCGCATTCGCATGGTCATGGATGTCGCTCGTACGTCCATGATGCATGCGGCTGCCCCCCATTTTCTGTGGACGTTTGCGGTTCGGTACGCGGCGCATCAGATCAACCTTCACCCCAGGGTCTCCATGCCGGAGACCTCCCCAGCTTTGCTGTGGACGGGGAAGGTTGGTGATGCGTCTGCGTTCCGTGTCTGGGGATCTCGGGCGTTTGTCCGCGACTTGTCTGCGGACAAGCTGTCCCCTCGTGCTGCTCCTTGCGTCTTCCTTGGCTTCCCCCCTGATGCGCCAGGGTGGCAGTTCTACCACCCCACCTCTCGCCATGTTCTGTCCTCCCAGGACGTCACGTTTGACGAGTCGGTCCCCTACTACCGCCTCTTCCCCTACCGCACTCCGTCCCTCCACCCGCTGCCGCTCTTCCTTGTACCAGGTCCCCCCCCGGTAGACCCCCTCCCCCCTCAGGGTCCTGCCCCTTCAGGTTTGTCCCTGGTAGACGCAGTCGAGCCTGTCAAGGTTACTGGTGACTCTGGTGCTGCTAAGGGTGCTAAGCCTGGGGGTGCTCACTCTGGGGGTGCTGAGCGCGTGGCTGCTGCGCCTGGGGGTGCTGAGCCTGCGGGTGCTCCTACTGGGGGTGCTGAGCTTGGGGGTGCTGCGACTGGGGGTGCTGAGCCCAGGGGTGCTGCGACTGGGGGTGCTGAGCCTGGGAGTGCTACGCCTAGAAGGTGCTGAGCCTGGAGGTGCGGAGCCTGAGGGAGTTGGGCCTACTCGGTGCTGGGCCTGGAGGCTCTCCGGGTGCTTCGTCTCAACGGGAGCCCCTCTCTCCACAGGAGCTGCGTGAGTGGTTTGCCCGGCGCTGGAGGTGTGCTGCAGGAGCTGGAGGTTCTCCAACTGCTGAGGGTGCTGGTGCCGCGGGTCCCGGAGGTGCTCGTGCTGGGAGTACTGGAGC